GAACAAGACATCATCCTGAGGAGTCAGGGACAGCCGCCCTAAAACCTCTGCAAGCCGTTCTGTCACGCCGACAAGAATGGCTAAAGAACAAACGAAACTAACGAGTTAACGCAAGACTCTCCCGGAGTCATTGATTTCTGAAGTTAAGTAAAGACGACACCGTGCATCTGCCAAACGCTTCGTACAACCGTGTACCCGGCTACCACTCTGGACCAGAGCATCGGACACTCGCGTCTTCCTGCCAGCCCCGAGTGTCATCTTGGATGAACCCATCCTCCGATCTCCGGATCCACAAGAGGGTCAGCCCTGTTTGGGTGAGGTAGAACACGACAGATGACGTTTGATGCTGTTTTCTCTCAAAATAACTCAGTTATCCGCAAAACATCATTTTCACCAGAACGCTTCCATTCCCTCTGAAAGAAACCTTCTGAGAACTTCATTCACGCATTCCAAAACTCACCATTCTCACTTTTAGTTCCATCCAACACAAGTTTACAAGTTTAATATCAAAGCTGTTAAGGATTGTCATTAAAATTGCCATTCATGAATTGTCATTTTATAATTGTCGTTTCAAATCTTCCAGTTTAAAATAGTTAGAAATAAAACGTCTTCATTGTTGAACTTGCCTCATCATTGAAACGAAACACAGAACAGGGTTGCATTTCCAGTTTATCGAATGAAAAGAATCTTACTGAATCTTCTGTTTAATAAATAAACTTTTGCTATTAATTTAAGTATCTTAAATTAATATTCACACCATTACACTGACTACATAAAACAATTTCATCGGTTTTAAAGTGTGAAGTAAACTCTGACGAAGTAAAATCCAAGCCGATCCCATTCATTTTGTTTACCTTTGTTGCCTGCCAACATGGCGTCTACTCTCTGAGAGTCACGTGACGTCCGGAGCTCTATAGCAGCACACGGTTGCTTCAGAGTAAAAAGAAAACAACTTCACCTGAGTGGAACAGCTGCAGTCTGTTATTAAACAGAAGATACTATTGGACTGTAGTTTTTAGCACTCATCACTTCACAATGTGATGAATGGAAACTCTAGCAACATTTTAACGTCACAGTTTTAAACTAAATGGTTTGACAGGATAATAAAATACCATGAAGCTTGTTTCCTCATTTGTTTTATTGTTCTTTTGTCATCACATCAACGTAAATCATCGGGCTTATACACAGATGGGGCTGTTTTATGTTATTTATTGTAATGCAATAAACATGCGTCACATTTAACAGCACCGAACAATAAAAATCAGGTGAGAGATTTTTAAAGCCATCTTCATTCAAGAAATTAATTTGTGTATTCTAGCATGAATCTAAATAACGATGTCATTTAAAGTTGTTTAGAATCGAACAAACTTACATCCAACAGTTGAATTTTAATATTTCATATTTATTTTACTGCCATATGTTATCCATGTTTATCCCCACTGGATTAAATCATCCCCATAAAAGAGCAGAATAACAGCATCACTTCTGTCGTTTGACACCCATCTCCATCTTCTCCCTGGTTTGTAGCTTCAGAGTTTCAGCAGAAGAAGGAAGGAACAGGCTCATTGTTTCAGTCTGAGGTGACCTGTTGACCTTCAGGGCCATGTGGCCAGCAGCCAGTTATGGGAGTACTGTTGGTGGCTGCCAGCAGAGGAAGCTGTCTGAGCTATCATCGGTGAGTTTCCAGAAGCCTTCCGGCAGGCTGATTGACCTTTTCCTGAGTCTTTTGTTGAAGTCGGTGAGAAACAAGTTTACTGTTAATAGGCACCACCACATAGTCTAGACTAAATATAGACTCACAGACTGAATGAACAATGGCTGTAGCAGCACTGAAGTTAAATTTAGGCACAGAAACCTCTGAATAACTCGTTTGGAAGGAAGGGAAACATTCCACGTGGTGATTGTGCAACGTGTAATTCAAACGCATCGAGAGGACCGCATGTCATCTAGTTCCCAGTTGGAGAAAACTCGTGATGCTCCCGAATGCAAGAGGACATTGTTCTGTTACTCAAAGTAATACTACTAAAGAATGAAGAAAGAAAATGATCTTTTATAAAGCCCCTTCCAGGATAAAAATCACGAGGCGCTTCACAAGAACAAAAAATTCTAAATACCAAAAAATCTTCAAAAAGGGGAATAGAAAATAAACAGGAGGGATTCTGAATTAGGCAGCTTTGGTTGCAAGAGCAGAACAAGGAGTGGGTGGTGATGAAGGTAACTACTGCTACTACTATTACTACTACTAGTACTACTATTACTACTATTACTACTACTATTATTACTACTACTACTACTACTATTATTACTACTACTACTACTATTATTATTACTACTACTACTACTATTATTACTACTACTACTACTACTACTACTATTACTACTACTACTACTACTACTACTACTACTACTATTATTATTATTATTATTATTACTTCTACTACTACTATTACTACTACTACTACTATTACTACTACTATTATTATTATTATTACTATTACTACTACTACTATTACTACTACTACTATTATTATTATTATTATTATTATTATTATTACTTCTACTACTACTATTACTACTACTACTACTATTACTACTGGTCAATTCAATTCAATTTTATTTATATAGCACCAAATCACGACAAGAGTCGTCTCAAGGCACTTCACACAGTAAACATTCCAATTCAGGTCAGTTCATTAAGCCAATCAGAAAAAAATTCCCTACACAAGGAACCCAGCAAATAGCATCGAGTCACTGACTAGTGTCAGTGATTTTACAGCAATCCTCATACTAAGCAAGCATTTAGTGACAGTGGAGAGGAAAACTCCCTTTTAACAGGAAGAAACCTCCAGAGAATCCTGGCTCAGTATAAGCAGCCATCCTCCACGACTCACTGGGGATGGAGAAGACAGAGCACACACACACACACACACACACACACACACACACACACACACACACACACACACATGCATTTATCCTAGTGGATCTATAATTAAACGGGTGAACTAGTAGTAGCACATTCAATGTCAAAGAAAGTAAAATGTTATTATCAGGAGAGGGAGAATGTTTAAGTGGTTAGCAGCAGTGTGCTAGACGATGGCCCCCTCCATGAGGACACCACAGCTCAGCAGAACATCATTGTAGCTTCTTCTGGGGAGAAAAACACTTAGAGAGAAAATAAAGTTAACAGTTGAAATAGCAGGAAATAATACAGTTAAAGAGCAGATAATAGAAGAAAGTAGTCGAGTGTGGAAAGTGGTCAGTAGTAACCACAATAACCACAAAGGTTCCTATAACAAACTGGAGCGGCTTCATAATGGTAACCAAACCCTGTGCTCAGATTAGCCATTAGCTCATTTGGACAAAGAATTTCTCCAAACTAAGGTTGTTCAGGCTGTTCATCAAACCCACTGAAAGTCACTGTTTAAATCCGGGTACCCCCGTCTCCAGCCATTATCCAGAGCTGTATTGCTGCAATTTAAGCCTACAAAATAAAACTCAGGGATTTAGATATTGCTTTTTTTAGATCCTCCAACACATCTTTGTGCAGATGAACAAAAAAAGTCATCAATCTCTAAGCTAACGGTGTTTAGCACAAACTAGATCCATTTGGAATAGCTAACGAGCTATGGGGACGACAGTCCTAAGAACCAGCTGTCTGAACTTCACATAGTTAAAGAAAAGTGTAACCGGGTCTCGTGGGTCAGTCAATGCTGAAGGGTCGCTATGACACTGCTCGCCTTTGGAGATTCTGAAGAGCAACATACAGTTGGGTATCTGCATATTTGGGTCCTAAACATCCTCAGAACGTGACAACAAGAACTTGAATCACATCCTGAAGTTGGCCGCCACTCAGGATGTGACTTCTGATATTGATGTGCTGGTGAAAGCTAAAAGATGTAAAGTAAAGTGAGTCAAATATACTTTAAGTACTGCGTGAAACTGATCTAGCCATGTGATCTGTAAGCTCTTTGAATCACTAAGGAATGTTTTTTTTTTTTCCAAATTTTCAAGTACACTTCAGGTGTTGTACTTGTACTACACTGTCCTCAGGCTCCAGCCTTGTTTTATATTGATTGTATTAAAACAAAGAAAACAATCTGAAGTGTTTTATTTTATTTACCGGTCCGGCCCACTTGGGACCAGATTTCCCTCCATGTGGCCCCTGAGCTAAAATGAGTTTGACACCCCTGGTCTATGCAGGCGGTACGATACACGTTATTTACAACTTTTATACAGAAACATGCTTCAAACTTCCTTAAACATCTTCTTAAAAAGAAATCAATGAGAAATATAAAAGTTTTACTTTTACAAGTGTGTAGAATGAAAAACTAAACTCCTCATTTGTTTACATGGAACCTTGTTGTTTTTTTTTTTTATCTTGTGTCGAACGGTTCAGTGATTCTTACTTCAGCTGATCTGATTCATTCGTGTGGACGGAAGCAGGTGTAGCAGACAGAGGACGAACCACGCCTCAAGGCGTTTTATCAACAACTCGTTAGTGAAAGATTAACTTATGAGTAATAATGATGCAAGAAGTCATATTTATGGTGAGGTTGGAGGATATTTAGCAGACAACACGTCTGTGTTTATGGTTCAGGTTGCAGAGCAGGTCTCTGACTGGTTTTACTCTGGTCCCAGTGGAACTCGTGTTTCCAGAACAATCCAGATCTGTTAGATTCCCTCGTTGGGAATTTTCCGTCTTTGTGAAAAAGGCTTGATGATCTTTTGAAGAGTTGAAATATGGTGAACACAGACAGAAAGTCTCTGTATGTGAGTCTCTCTCTCTCTCACACACACACACACACACACAGCACCCTCACCCCCAACTCGCCACTAGGACATCTTAATAGCTGTGAAGTAATTCATGGAGAGACTCGTCATTCAGCAGGGAGGAAGTGCTGTGGAGGAAATTCGGCATCGAGGAGTCTCCTCATCCTCCCACACATCTGCTCCTATTGGCTGACAGCTGTGATGTCACTGGCTGGCCCATTCTATAAGAAGCTACTTTCCCACACAGGCAGCAGAGCAGCTGCAGAGTTGATTCAGTCACAACGAGGAGAATCGGTGGACACATCAGGACACGTCTGACCATGTGCCGAGGACTGGAGCTGCTGCCCATCACCTGCCTGGAGAGGTGAGCTCAGCAGGATCCTTCTCTGCTTTTTAAAGACGTGCACGTGGATTCTCAAACTGGATTTCTAAGATCGTATATTAAATTCCTTGTGTAGGGCGAAGGAGCTGAGAGCTTTGTTCGGAAGTTTTCTCCTGAAGTCAGACCACAGTATCAGCGGGCAGCCCAGGAACCACAGCAAGCTGAAGTAAGACGACCTTTCAGCGGGAGACTTCTAGCAAACCAGGAGGTTTCTCACAGCATTACCAAACAACATCTGTTGTTTTCTCTTGTTGCAGGTTAAGTGAAGTGGCCGAACCTCTCAAATGGAAGGAGTCCTTTGAGAGTCTGCTGTCCAGTCAAAGTAAGTTCACTGTCCTGCAAATCCTGGCTGAACGAGGTGTTTAGAGGCGATGCTGAGTTCTCGTCTCCCGTGTCTCCAGATGGACTGTGTCTGTTCAGAGCCTTCCTGGTGTCGGAGTTCAGCGAGGAGAACATTGCCTTCTACTTGGCTTGTGAGGACTTCAGAGCCACCAAACCCTCCAAACTGGCCCCAAAGGCCAAGAGAATCTACGAGGAGTTCATCTGCTTGAATGCTCCACGAGAGGTACGGGTCCTGCCCTTCAGACGGGCGCCGTGCGTGCGGCTTCCAGTCAAGCGTGGGTGATTAACCGTTTCCTCTGCTCAACAGGTAAACCTGGACCACGCCACTAAAGCGGTCACCCAGGAGAACGTGGAGCGGCCCACTCGGTTCTGCTTCGACGAGGCTCAGTCCAAAATCTACACACTGATGGAGAAAGACTGCTACCCCCGCTTCCTCAAGTCCTCCATGTACCTGGAGCTGAAAACCAGAACGGGCTAAAAGACTCAAAAAGAGACGTGTTTCTGACGCTGCTGATGCGATTTCTCCTCAATGTTTACGGAGACCGGGAGAAGGTCCAGATGGATCAGATACCTCAGCCCGAGGAGCTGCTGGGGTCCATCTCAGATCTACGCTGACCGGGTCCAAGCTGGAAAGTCCAGCTGATGCTGTGAGAAGACACGTGGCACCAGACTCTGCCCTCTGGGAGTAGCAGAAATGTTTATTTATTTATTATTTATTTAAAATAAATGTATCTGGTGGATATTTACAACCGAGCGCTGAATTTGTATTTTATATTTTTTTATGTGAACGTTGTTGCACTAAATAAAAAAAATAAACATTTTTGATAGAATCTGAAAATCTCTCTTCTGTTACTTTGACGAGGAAAGAAAACCCGTTGCTCGTGTGCTTCAGTCCCTAGCGTGTCTGCGGCCTCCGCTGTGACTGACCGGGTGACTCGCTGCGGAGAGTCCGTTCCTGAACAAGTCTGTAAAGGTCCGAAATCAACAGGAAACCAGAGGAAAATATTCTAGAACAGCTTCTAAAACTCAGCTTCCTAAACCTAATCTGGAATAAAAAAACAAAAACAAATAAAGGAACAAAATGTGAAGAAACCATTAAAAAAAACAGAACCAAATCATTTAAATCAGGGGTGTCAAACTCATTTTAGCTCAGGAGCCACATTGAAGGAAATCTAGTCCCAGGTGGGCCGGACCGGTAAATTAAAAACAACTTCAGATTGTTTTCTTTGTTTTAATACAATCAATATAAAACAAAGCTGGAGCCTGAGGACAGTGTATCCAAAATAGTACAAGTACCAACACCTGAAGTGTACTTGAAAATTTGAAACAAACAAATGAATAAATAAATAAATAAATATTCCTTAATGACTCAAAGAACTTACAGATCACATGGCTAGATCAGTTTCATGCAGCACTTAAAGTATATTTGACTCATTTTACATCTTTTAGCTTTCACCGGAGCATCAACATCAGAAGTCACATCCTGAGTGGCGGCCAACTTCAGGATGTGATTCAAGTTCTTGTGTGAGTCTTAAGCGCAGCTTTGTTTTATTTATACTCATTACAGAGAAAACTTGCTCACAACGTTAAGTTTATTTTCACTTTACATTGTAAAGTATGAAAATAAAGTTTACACAACCATCTCGCGGGCCGGATTTAACCCGCTTGCGGGAGACATGCGGCTCGCGGGCCACATATTTGACACCCCTGATTTAAATGTTACGTTATTTCATTTTTAGTAACAGACATGGATGAGAGTCTGTTTTTACTGGTGAACTCTTCCTTTGGAGCTCTACTTTAAACGTACGTAGGTAGAGCTGCTGAAGTGGACTTCTGTACAAATGATACGACTAATCAGTATCTTACCTGTTTTAGATCATCCTTTGAATAGCCTCAAGTTGGAGACACGGGTTAGATGAACGGAAGCGCCGATAGCTCATTAGACACAGCAGGACCAGGAATAAGTCGACACGGATCCCTAACGTTGTTTTGCAGTTTGTGATACTTTATATTCAATTCAATTCAATTCAATAATTTATTTCACTCAAAGTTTAAATACACAAACTTCAAATTAGAATATAAGCATTCAAGTGAAATAGGGGGAGGAAGAAGAAAAAAATCTTATATGACCTACCCCCTTTAACTAAGACAAGATAAATAACAAAGAGTACAAAATGGCCTTATACACAAAAAATAAACCGCTCTCTTACTTCCACAAATAATATCACTACTAAAAAATTAATCCTCCATCCTCAACTCACCAAATCATACGATTTTAGCATTTTATCTTTATACATTTTTTTAATTCATCATCCAGGTTATTCCATAATTTCACACCATATATTCAAATACACATTTGCTTTGATGTAGTACGAACAAATATCCTTTTAAACTCTGGTTTCTTTCTACTCTTATCATTTTTTGGGATCAAAACAAAGAACCTTTGTAGATTAGATGGCAGTAAATTATTTCTAGCCTTAAACGTAATTAGTAAAATTTTCAAGTTAACTAAGTCTTTGAATTTCATAATTTTAGATAGAACAAAATATTTGTTAGTATGTTCTCTCGGATTAGCTTTATGTAGAATTCGCAAAACTCTCTTCTGTGACAGAAACAACCTTCATGCTGCAGTTTTAAACCACCATCAGGGTTTTCATCAATAAGCAGCGAGTCTCCGTGATGTGGTGTGGAAGAGAGGATGGAGCTGCTGATGGTAAGCTCCAGCTTCAGGTTCTGGGAGGTGGAGGATGGTGGGACAGCAACAGGAGATGAGTCCGAGACGATGAAGTCCAGGATCATCTCCACTGAGTTGCAGCTTCTCACCGTTTCATGGTCATTCGAACAGAATCATCCTGAAAGTGGCAACCAGGAGTGCTACAGTTGCCACTGCCGAGCCCTGCAGAACCCTGAAATGGGAAGTTTCTGGTGGCGTGATCATTTGTTACATAACATGTTTGTGATGAAAGCTATTTAAACATGTTTTGCAGCTGGCCCCTCTCAGACTAGCTTTTAGCATTAGCCTAGTGAACCAGACCAAATTATGGCTTTGCAGAGGTTGGTCTAGAAACGCTCCATTAGAACCTCCACAGCCCCCCGCAGCATTCTGGCCGGCCAATCGCAGCCAGGCCCCTTCTTTGTGGCCCCCGAATATAATTGTGGACTTTTTGGACTTGGGCTTCATTAGAATCAGGGGCAAATAGATGTATCTAAGTCCTTCATTTAGAAAAAGTACGCGTTGTCGCCTTCTTCAACAGCAGACCGCCTCGTTTACATCGTTCTTTGTGGTGAGTACAGCATGTGGATATCATTTGAGAAACAACGGTAGAACCCGCCCCATGACTGAGAGCGTCAATGGAGCGTCGCCAGACTAAATCATATATTTATTCAACACATTCTCACTCCCAGCGCGTCAAAAACAAACGCTTGGTCAGCCACCCTCTGCCTCAGACCCCTGACGCCAAAAGTGCCCTTTTTCGTTACTTATGTGCAAAAAGGGATTTTTCCCTTTTCTAACTGCAGATCCCAATGCAGCGTTACACTGACGCGATGGGATGTCCGCTGATGCGGCACCAAACAAGCTCATTTAACCGCACCTAAACCTTAACGTTTCTCTATTTATAACCTTCCCCTCACCCTCACCTTAACCCTCTTGCTACCCAAAACGTTACTCTCACTGTGATCAAGCGTTTGTGTCCCATGCATTCTGACTGTGAATTTTCGTATTTGCCGCCCAAGGGGAACGTTAGAACATACCATCTGGCGAGAGGGGGAGGTTACAAGTACCCTCTACTTTTAACGTCCACCTTGGTAGTTGAAACCTCCCCCTCGCGTTGGCTCGGTCCAAACTCGACCAATCACGAGGCGGCTCCCACCGTTCTCTTCATAGAGCCGACTTTTAGAGCCACCGACACATCACCAACGTGTTAGCTAGCAAGATGGTTATGGTTAGGATGGGGGTGAGGGGAAGGTTAAATAAGAGGACAAGGTTAAGGTGAGGTACAATGAGCTTGTTTGGTGCCCTGGCTGCAGACATCCCATCGCGTCAGTGTAACGCTGCATTGGGATCTGCAGTCAGAAAAGGGAAAAAACCCTTTTCGCACATAAGTAATGAAAAAGGGCACTTTTGGCGTCAGGGGTCTGAGGCGGAGGGTGGCTGACCATGCGTTTGTTTTTGACACGCTGGGAGTGAGAATGTGTTGATTTAGTTAGTCTTGGGGGTGCTGGCGGTTCGGGGCAGCCTATTGAGTGCTGCTGCTCTAAGCTGAGGTTATTCAATTAGAACAGGTGAAATCACCTCACCTGGCCTGCCAGACTCTGATTCTGCACACAGAAAGAGTCTGGTAACTCACAGGCAGAGAGGCACATGAGGGGCGGGACTAGGCAGCTCAAAAATAACCAATCAGGAAAAAGACAGAAATGCCGACTGTACCGCGCGAGGGTGTAGTTTTTTAGCTGTAGTCAACAATGGCGTTTGCCAGCGGCGCAAACATCTTTTTTTTGTTTTTAGAAGAAAGGCTTTTAGCGCTTCTACTTGTTGTTTTAAAGACAGTCAAGTCATTCAGACCAGAGGAAAGAGCCGCAGCGAACTCCGCTTCAGTCACCATGTTTATGACAAACTCGGCGTTGGGGTGTGTGACGTACGATACTCAGCGCTGATTGGCTCGGTTAGAATTCTCAGGGGCGGGGTTATTTGAATAGGAGCGTTCCCAGACCTTTTCTCCGTGCAGAATTAAACAGAGGAGGAGTCTGGCAGGGCAGGCTAGTAATCACCTTTTCATTCAACCAGATCAGAAGTAGTCCTTTAATGACCTTCAGTAACCTTTATCCTCCCGTAAATTTATTCTGGCAAAAATATTGAATTTTGGATCAAACCTGATTTGTTTTTTCTAAAAGAATCTGTTAAAGTTAATAACTGCAGAAACCTCATTAAGAAGGTTTTAGTTTTTACAGAAACCCTCTTTAAAAACGTGAACTGAAGCTCTAAATATTCAGCCATATTTTAAAGGGATTATTAATGATTATGGAAAAAGTATCTAAGCTGATTAAATGGAAATAAAAACTGAATAAATGCTGATGCTTGTAAGGTACGGTGGGGAACCCTGGCCCATGCTGTCAGGTTAACTCTGCTGAAAAATATAACTAGAGGATTAAACATGAATCAGTTTGTTGTTCAAACAAAACAGAGTTAGAAATTATTTGGGGAAAATCCAGTCAGAGAGGAATGTTTCATCTCTATGGAAACAACAAGAGATGACAAACAAAACCAGTTCAGTCGGAGGAAGAAAGCGACTCCGTCTTTTTAGACCCTTTAAGGCCCCGTTCAACAAAATACCTCTATAGTCACCGAAATGGGACGGAAAATCACAAGACCTTTGATTCTCCTGAACAGGCATATAAATAAAAAATTGAGATTATTTCAACACTCTACATGAGGAAGTATGAGAGCGGGTTTCCTCGAGTTCAGAAGATTGTAGCTCCCACCAGGAGCCCTCTGCTGTTGTGTCCATGAGAAAGACGCTTCAACTGAATTGCCTGTGTTAGCGGTGGTCAGGGGGGCTGATGGTGCAAATGGCAGCCTCACCTGTGTCAGACCGCCCCAGGGTGGCTGTAGCTACATAGTAGCTTACCATCACCAGCAGTGTGTGAATGTGAGAGTGCATGGATAATGGCGCAAATCCATTCGTAATAAATAAAATCCATTATTATTATTATTATTATTATTATTATTATTAGTGTTGTTGTAAATATTAACACCATCCATGTCTGAGGTCAAATGTTGGATGATGAATGGGCTGAATTTTGCATTTAGTCACTCAGCTGGGTGAAGGTAGGGAGCTG